GGAAAAGAGAAAAGAGAAAAAGGCCTTTGTGTTTCTGTAGTTCACCTCTTGAGACTATTTCCCCCCCCACACACACACACGGACTGAGACAGGATTACAATAACTCAGTAACTGAGGAGCCCACATGCAGATTAATTTTTTTTGAGCTAAGTCTTAAGAATCAGTCTGAGCTCACCCAATAGATGCCGGCCTTGTCAATAGATTGAATTTTCTTCTTTAGACATTATGGGGAACTCTGGGAAGAACAGAAGGACACAATCGAAGTAACTTTGACATGATGTGTTTGATGTATTGATATTTAAGATAGTGGAGGAAGAGAGAATCCTTTCCAGTTTGAGTCACAGGGTCAGTTAAAGTGTTCCTTGCCTAGTTTTCTTTTTCAAAGGGAATAGAGTGCTCTAAGGAATAGATGTAGAAGAGACATGTCCACTTTCCAGGAAGTGTCTTTTTTATCTCACCCACTTTTCTGAAGCTGCACTGTTTTGGAGGATTCCTGTTCCTGAATTCATTCTTCTGTCAAGTCAGGTGACCTATTAGGTCATCAGAAGTAGCTTGAAAAATCAGGAGCTTATGAGTTAGTTTCCATGATTCTCCCTTCTACTTGTTATGTAATATCAGTGGGTCTTTAAAAAGGATGAGAAAAAAAGAAAAGGGGAGCTGATGGGCTCATGTAAGTGGACTTTCCTTAGAGAAGGAAGCCTTCGTGAAGCACATGTGGCCTAGAAGGCAGTGTAGTCTCTGACGAATAGGAAAGGAGTAATCTCTCGTCTTTATTCTTCCTCTCCTGTGGCTTGCTTGAGTCCTTCTGGAAGTGTCAGTTTCCTTTGGTGTATTGTTCTGAATTTGGTAGATAATCAAGCCTGGGATTGCAGTTATGGTTTTATTGTCCAGATCATGGTGACTTGTGATAGGGCAGTGGCCTGTTAGTGCCTCCAAATCTATGGCCATTGAGCATCCTGGTCCTGGCCTTAATTCCAGGCCTTAACTTGGCCCAACTTAACTTAGGCTCTGGGAAAGCCAGGGCTTGTTGGGCAAACACGTGGCCAAGACTGTATTACAAAATGGAAAGAGCTCAGCTACCAGGGCTTTGGGGTTTGTGGACTTATCCCAGATTCAGAGTGAGCTCATGGAGCTTCTGAGGAAGGAACCCACTCTGTGTTCAGTCAGTTCAGATAGCCTGTTGGAGTGACCCTTGGTAACAAACAAAGCTGGTGTTATGCCCCTGACCCTGCATGCAGACCACTTTGGAAAGGGGGGAAAGGGTGACTGAAATTCTCAGGTAGACTTTGTCCTTTGGTTTTTGTAGCCAAATCTGGATTCTCAACTGAAAAGCAGGGGCCAGCAAATACAGGAGGTAAGGATTCTGGGAGCTGGACTCTGTGAACTACCCAGTTGTTCAGAGGACATCTCCCTCTTCTCCGTGTCCCATGAGGTTTAGCTGACTTACAACTGAATCTACTAACCTCTCTGCCCTTTTTTTCTGCTCTTTCTCTCCTTGCAGAAGGAAAGCGAGGAGCCCTTCAGGTTGTGCTCTGGCCCTTTAGGGCCCTTTTTGTTGTCAATTCTCTCCTCTCCCTCCTGAGCACAGTGTGTGTGTGTGTGTGTGTGTGTGTGTGTGTGTGTGTGCGTGTGTGTACGCATGTGTGCTTATGATCTGTGCCTCATGAGCTTTGGCTCATGCAGCTAGTCTGTTTTTCCTGAAAGCAGTTTGTGTGCATGCCCCCTGCTTGTGTGTGCTCCTGCAGACATCCCTGGAGCAGTGTGAGAATGTATGTGCCAGCATGGTGCACATTCAATGTAGCATGTGTGTGCTTATACTTGTGCTCAGTTTGACTCCCCCAGATACTGATTGCCTTCCTCTTTTCCTACTTTGCACAGTGTGTGTCCATTTTCTACTTATTGCTGCAGATTGGCATATGCTGTAAACCCTTGCTGAGCCCAGCATGCATACACACTTTGTATTTGAGAGCAGGAGCTTCTGTAGGCTTTTTGTACCTCTTGCCTGGGGCCTAAATGTGTGCTTTGTGCTTCTGAGCAGGCTTCCTAGCCTCTCTGTGAACACAAGCTTCTGTAGACCTGTGATGTGGTTTCCCCATGCCATGTGAATGCATGGTATACAAACGCTCTGTGCCTCCAAGCACTGGTTCCTGAAGACAGTAAGGGTTTCTTTTGCCAGTGATTCGGGCCCTAGTGAATACTGAATCCTCCCCCAGATGGGTGTGTGCACATGTTCTGTAGCTCTGTGTGCAGGATCTGTGCTTACCTATGTTTCCTCAGGTGCAAGTGGTGCCTACCTCCTATAGGCACTTTGTCTAGACCTCCTCTCATTCCCCCGGCCCTCCATCTGTGCCCTGCGTGTGCATGCTCTATGCTGTGCCTGCAGGCTTCTGCAGACCCATTGTCCCCTCTAAGCACAGGAAATGTGTATGATCTGAGCCTGTGAACGCTGGCTGCCAAAGGCTTTTTGTGACTTTGTTTCCTTAAGCCCAGTCGTTTCTGGCAAACATCTAATTCTAGGTAGGAAATAAAGATCTGCTCAGTGCGGTGACTGTTTCCAAAGGGAGGATAAGTTCTGGTTGGTAGGATCTGGGGATTTAGGGATGGGCTACCCCTCACAAGAACCTTAGGAGACTTGATTCAACCACTTCTGGCTGCCTTTTGGGCCTGGCCCTCCCTCTACCACAGCATCCCACTCATAGAACCAGGGCAGCAGGCAGAAGCAGCGAAATGTGGTCATGAAGGGCTATAGGCAGTAGACAGATAGGCTTGATTAGAGTATAGGCGACCTGAGAAGGGTCTTACTGAAAAGGGTCTTAAATCCAAAGTTCATCTGAAGCCTGATGCTGATCCAGGGTCATTCTTACCCACTTTTACATCACTCATTAACCTTTCCTACCTCTCCTTTTTGTACTCTCGCCTCATTTTGTCTGTAACTTCTCCCATCTTTAGCCCTCCCAAAACTTTGCCCCTGTCCAGAGCTTAACAGCTTACTTCTGCCTCCCTTGTTATGGAGCTCATTTGCTCAGGATAGTTAGCTGGACCCAGGTCTCAGGAGGCAGGGAAGTTGTTGGGAGTGGAGGGGTACAAGGAGGGATGGGAAGCCCCAGACCCGCTAGCACTAGGTCTGTTGAGCCTAAACAGCATGGACCATTGGTTCACAGCATGGACCATTGGTTCTCTGGAGAGCCCTGGCAGCTTTGGAACTCTGTACACTGCTTGAAGGATTTGCTTTGGGTCTTTTTACAGAAACCTTTAAAACGTGTTTTCTAACTGTTCCTTCCTTGGGTTATTTGGTGCCTCAATTTTCAACTTCTTATTGTAGAGCTTATAAAATTCACCAGAGTGATAATCCGAGTGTCTAATCTGCCCTGGGTTCTCTTGTTAAATAGAGCTTATCAAATGTAGACTGTACTCAGTGTCAGTGAGTTTGAGCTTCAAGGAACCTAGGCCAAGTCAAATCACAAGATGAGATAGGAATCCAGAAAGACCAGGTCTGACGCTGGGGCAGCCAACAGAATTTAGGAATATAGCTGGAAGAAGACTGGACTCCATGTGAAATTGTCCTTTTGCTTTAGTGAGGTGTGGAAGCCTGCATGGACCCTTCTCCTGGCTTTGGCTTACTATTATATATACCAGTGGGTTGTGGGGCTGTAAGTTCTGGCAGCTCTCACATTCCCAGTGGACCTTAGTCCTGGGATCTCTGTGAGCTTGGCCTTATATCCTCCCTATTCACTGGGGAGAAGGGAGGTGAAGTACCACTCATTTCAGCAGCCTGCTTGTTGCCCTGGCTGATCATGGAATTGGCTTACACATCAGGCTGGTTATGTCACCACGTGGTGTATGTGACCTACACTGCTCTGAGCTTCCTACTTCATTGCTCACTGCTTGACCAAAGAAATATGGCAATCTCCCATCTCTCCCAGGATCTAACTTTTTTTCCTCTCTCTCTCTTTAAAGATTGCAGATGATGGGGATACCTCTTTGCCCCAGTGGCTCCCAGAAGGGTAAGTGTTGTACTACAAGGTTTCTGTGGATCTTATGCAGTCTGTTATGCTGCTTCTAGCTTTTCCCCTGGGAAGCAGGAGAAACAGCTTCATCAGCTGGATTCTGGGGAAGGAAGAGATTCCACTGTAGAGACTGCTTGGTTCTCTGGGGCAGAAGACAGAAGTCTGCAGACTGATTCCTCAGAGACAGAAGAGAGAGCTTTGCAGGGGAGGGAACTTTGGGGCTCCCCTATCCTTACCTCTGGAATTTCTGATGTATTGCATCATAGTGGTGATATCCCCTTTATGTATGGGAATGAGGAGACTAGAAACACACCTGCATTTAGAGACAGTTTCCTTCTATTCCACTGTTGATAGTGTTGCCGATTAGATTACTCCCTGGGCTCCATCCATCTTCAGCTGTTGTGAGTCATCTACTTATTCCATTCCACTGTAGTGAAGACATAGTAGCGTCCCGTAGGAGCTCTGTGTGTTCTGTCTGTCTGGGAGTTTCAGACCCATGTGATTGCACCAGAGAGGTATTTCAAACTGCTCGACTGCTGCCTATAACTCACTGACTGTGCTTGAGAGAGAAGAGCGATTAAGCGCCTGCACCACCCACACCCCCACATACACTCCTCAGGAGCGTGAGAACCTTCCTTCCCTCCTTGTCCCACAAACGCCTTCGGACATAGAAATGCTCAGTGGCTGCCTCTTCTTCCTCGTCACCAGGGAAGAGAAAAGATTAGATCATAAAGTTGTCTACTGTATTTTTAAATGCTCCTTTTCCTTGTGATTTGTCTTTTTTATAGCAAGAGCTAAACATATGAAAGAGCCACCCTTCTTTTGTCAAAAGCTCACTTGTGTTGCAAAAAAAAACTTCTCGGCTTAAGGAGTGCATTTTATAGTTTTCAGAATTAGCCAAAAACTTGTGGCACCAGTTGCTTCTTCAACAGCCCTTCTTCAGGGCTTTAGCTTTTTTCTTCAAATAATTTTAAAATCCATACATGCCAGTGGAACATATCCAGGCTCTTTCTAAATGGAGCCGTGCAGTGATTTTCTAAATGCCTCCCTGTTGTCTTCTTTCCCTTCCTTCAGCTTAGTCCTTGGAAGTTGTCACAACTTTCGATCTACCGTAGGTGTGGTTGTCTCATTGAGAACAAAGTTCACTGCCTGTATTCAGGAAGCCAGATTATTAGAAATCAGCATATCAGGTTGCCTGTTCCAATTCCTGGCCTTGACCCAATTTGTGGCTCCATTTTTGGCCTATATAGCTGGCAGTACACACTCTTCTGTGACATGTCTCTTTTCAGACCAGCTGTGGTGTACAACCCAGCACCCTGCTTTCCCCACCTCGTTGCTTTCATTAAAACCAAGTACATGAGTTATTTTGATTGAAGCTCAGAATAGCTTCCAAAAGGTCAGAGAGGTTTTATATTTCATCCCCCTCGTTTTATGGAAGTGACACTGGGACGCAAAGAGAGGAAGGAAGTTTGGCAGAGGACATGTAGTGAACTAGTAGAAGAGCTGGGGATGAAATCCAGGTTATCTCAAGGTGAGAAGGGTCTTCTTTTGGGGAAATTCTCTGTATTTTTATTGCATATTGTTATGGAGGAACAACAATGAAATTAGTAAGTATAGAAAAGGTATAAAAGTTTTAGAAATCTCAAGTTTCTCCAGCTGTAATTTTTTCCTGGTCCCTGTTGATGTGACCATAGGGCTAGGCCAAACTCTGAGTCACTTTGCTGTTTCCTTCTTAAATGGTCTTTTTTCCCCCAAATGATCTTTTGGAAGTCTCTCATCCACTTCCCCTGCCTCCATTTGATTATGCAGGCTCCTCTTTCCGTGGAGACCCTTTTTCTTCAGGAGGCTTGGATAGACAGAACTGGTGACTCTTTTACTCAGGTTGGAGAAGGTCTCCTTCTACATGTTATTGTTTGTCAGTCTTGCTCACCTAGGCAGCAGCTCTTCTGTAGAGCTATTCCTGTGGGCTCTGTTCTAGCACAGGTCAGGAAAGACTTATCTTTAGTCTGGCCTGAGTGTAAGGAGGAGCTATCTTAACCACCAATTCCCACCTTGCTTTATGGAGCACAAGGGCCTTCAGATAAACAAAGGAGCCTTGGACTGGCACAGTGGGATAAAAGAGCTCTCAATCCTTGGCTAAAACCTCAGAAGGAGACACTGAGAGCAGATTCCATTGTTTGTCATCCATAGCTTTATTTCACTCACTTTCTGTCCTCCTTACCCCTCTTAAAGGCACACGGTAGAGGTCAGTTCATCTTCCTCTGAGGAGAAGATGAGAAAGGAGGATGGAACATTGAACCTGCCAGTAACTCAAGGTGAGACTAAAGGTACTGATATATTTTCTTCTCTCCTCAGGCCAGCTGGAGGGCTCTATGGCATTGACAGCATGCCAGATCTACGCAGAAAGAAGCCACTGCCACTTGTCAGCAATCTGGTGAGTAAGGACTCTTGTGAAGGCTTAGGCTGTAGCCTTGGGATATCCCCCATTGGGACTTGGCAAGCTTTCAGGACTGGAAGTGGGGCCTTTAGTGACAAATATTAGTCTGATGATCAATCATTTAAAGCTTTACTGAGACTTAGTGATGGCTTCAGTAGGACCTTACATTACCTCACTCCCTTGTCAGAGCCCCAGGTTCTTCATTAGCTGAAGCTCCTACTAGAACATTTATAGCTTGGACCCTCAAAGCTGGGCTCCAGGGTCATCTTCTAGTTATCCATCTCCTCTAGGTATCTCTATAGCCTTCTCTGATGACCTGTAATGGAAACTTCCTCTGGTCCTGACCTAGATAATTGAGATTCGTGTGTGATGGGCATGACAAATGTGACTCCTTCTTGGAGGTCAAGTGAAGTCTCCCAAGACATAGGTTTTCTAGACTATCTCTGTACCCTTGTGTCTAGCATTGGGAGGTAGTGATAACAATTTGTGGAATTGAATTGAAACAGGCTTAGGAGTTAAAGCTGATCTCAGACCTCTAGCATGACCAGAAGCTCCTATCTGGGCTCATACCTCCTAAGGCAGAATCAGCTCAAGGAATTTTCTGTAGTTTAGTGAGTAGTGGGGGTAGAGTGGTACCCAGGTCATCTCAGAGTCCCAGAGCCAGATGTTCAGTAAGACTTGAACCCTTTTTCTTATTACCATTTTCTACTCCTGTTTTCTTCTTTTTTTCTCCCTATTCAGTCTATTTTGTTTTTTCTATCTACTCCTTTTTTGATTTTTCCTCCATACTGTGCTCTTTTTTCTCCACCAGTTGCTTCCTACTTAATTGACTGAGTAGAGGTATCCTTTGCCATTTTCTCTTCATCATTTCTTTCTTTCCTTCTTCTTTCCCCTGCTATTTGTACATCTTTCCCTTTTTCCTCCTTTCTAATGCACCTCTTTTCCCACCAACTCTTCATCAAGCTGGTTGGATGAAGATAAATTCGGATGTCATCTCTTCTTTATTACGTCTTTGTCTTTCATCTCCTCTTTTTTCTCTTCTTCCTTTCTTCCTACTTTTTCTCATCTTCTCCCTCCTTGCTCACCAGCTGTTTTTTGTTTAACTGATTGGATAGCAGTATCGTATGCACTTCTTGTTTCCCCTCCTCTGTCTTTTAACCTTGCCCATATTTCGCGTTATGGCATAACTCGCCTTCTAGGCCTTGGGCCCCAGTCAGCTGTCTGGGTTGAAGACAGTTTTTAGTTGATAGAGGCAGAGGGGGTTGGGACATGTTTCCTACTTTGGACTATAGGGAAGAAACCTCTCAGTTGTCTCTGTGAGCTTTCATGCCCTTGTGGGGCTTTAACATCATGTTGTTCCTTTCTCTGCTCTCCTCTGCACAGGCTATGGTAAGTGTCTCCAGAGCCCCTTTCTATGCTTTATAAGAGTCCATATCCCAAGCCACCTGGGCACATCCCAACTGTTCTGCCCACTTAGGCTGATACAGTGACTTCTGTCTGCCTAGTGTCCCCTGCTTTAGGGAAACCATGTGCCTCTCCAGGGGCTGTCCCTGAAGCTTGGGCTTGGCAGATTCATGGGCCCCTCTATATAAGATCCTGGCTAGCAGGACATCATAGCTGTCACATTTAACCCCCTACCCTGCTTGATTTCAATGAGGCTACATTGCCCCTTTCACTGTCAAATGCCCTGCTCATTTGGGCTTTTGGCCTCCACAGCTTCCTGGGGTTGTGTGGGCCGGGGGTGGTACCAGAGAATAGAGGATATAGTATAGAATCATAGTTCCCAGTGATGGTTCTTGACTGTGATTCTGTCAGAGTTGTGTGTCTATCCTATTCTTCATGACCTGTTTCAGACTGTAATTCTAATCTTTTCATTTTCCTTTGCCTTCCTTTAAACAAGGAGTTTCTGTGGGGTCAGATACCTAAAAACTCTCAGGTACCCTGAGAGAAGTGCTGTTCTGTCATTGTTAGACAGTCCCTTAGGGCCTTGGATTTGGATATTAACCTCAGGTTCTTATTACCTATTATCCATGGCAATCCCCTGTGAATGACAGTAAAAATAGAGAGAACATAGTGAGTTATCATCAAATAGCTTTGGTCACTGAAACTCCCTCCCCAGGGCTTTGCCTAGCCCTTGGTAGTAGCCAGGGCTGACAGCAAGTCTTCTCTCACAGTCATTGGTCCAGTCCCGGAAGGCAGGAATTACTTCTGCAATGGCTACACGTACCTCTCTCAAGGATGAAGAGCTGGTAAGTGACCCATGGGCTTTCAAGAGTCCACTGGCCTATGGTCCAGTGAACATCTCTGTAGCCAAACTTACCAGGAATTCAAAAGTGTTGGGCACACTTTGTTAATGAAACAGATAGCATCAAGTTTTCTACACTGGGAGAGGCAAGGGTCCAGACCAGGGGTAAACCTTAATCTCACGTTGGAGTATGTGACCACCAATGTCAGGGTTTTATGGTAAGCCTAGTTCCCTTTGTTTCTCTGAAAAAGCCTGAATACTGGGACAAAGCTCAGGCCCAGCATTCAGGTCAGACCTATCTTGGATGACCAGGAGCACGTGATATGGAGGGCTTCTTTCTGCCAGGCTGGGCTGTGGGCTGGGCCAAACTAAAGCATCTCCTCAATTGCCAGAGGAGAAACCGGGGTCTGGAGAGCCCTACATGGGTCTTAGTTCTGGTATCTCCCAGCAGAGAACTGAAGTTGCTGGTGGGTGATGGGATATGTGTCTTTCAGAAATCCCATGTGTATAAGAAAACCCTGCAGGCCTTAATCTATCCCATCTCGTGCACCACACCCCACAACTTTGAGGTCTGGACGGCCACTACCCCAACCTACTGCTATGAGTGTGAAGGCCTGCTCTGGGGCATTGCCCGGCAGGGCATGCGCTGCAGCGAGTGTGGAGTCAAGTGTCACGAGAAGTGCCAGGACCTGCTCAATGCTGACTGCCTGCAGCGTGAGTCTCCCTGTGGGGTGATGGGTGGGGAACATGGGCAGCAGGGCCTCTCCAAAATAGTCTGGCAACAAAGAGCTAGGGTGGCTGGGACATCATCCCTGTATTCTACCTGATTCTGAAGTTCTTTCCTTTTTAGAGAAAGTATGGTCCTAAGTCAAGAGACATTGCCATTCCAAATAACAGGTCTTGTAGCACTCTCTTAAGCACCTTTAGGAAAAATATGTTGAGCTTTCTGTGGTCCTCTGATGGAGATAAAAATCCCTTCTAGGATTCAGATGATCCCTGAGGCTATGCTTGAGTATTGTACACACTATGGTAGCCATATTGTCCAAATGACTAGAGCATGTTTAATCAGCCCAAGTGACTAGAACATGTTTAAAACTAATGAGAAGAGAGAGTTCTGTGAGGTTCTAGGCCTCACAGAGGAACCTCCTGAGGTCTAGACCCTAGGACTCAGGGAAGCTGGAATTTATTCCTTGCTTATAGTTGGAGCATTTAGACAACAGTGCCAAGAACAGAAGTTTCAGATGGATTAGGCAGAGATCCAGATGGAGAATGTACCAGACTCCCAAGGCCCTTGCTAAATATGTGACTTGTGCTGCCATCATAGAATGGGGAAAACAGGAGCAGGAAAAGCAACAAGTCTCTGTCACAGGAGGTGGTAGCACTCTAAGTTCTTATCTCCTTGCTCCACTCCTGCTGGGCTTGCACTGCTATAGCTAGACCCCAGGAATAGCAGGGGTAGGGGATGTGGGATGTGGAAAAGTATTTTCTTGCCCCTCCAGGTCTTCAGGTGTTACTCAGAGCCAAGCCGTAGCAATGAAAGCTTCAAGGATTGTGGTAGGAGAAAGGAAGGTTGCCTTTAGACTCACAAGTAGTTCATTGTCCCAAGGAAAGATACGTGACATAAAAGGGGCCCAGGAAGAAGCCTCAAGGAATTGTTGACTTAAAATGTCTTTATTTGAAGAACGCTAGATTGGTGCCAGTGGCATGGCTATAGTAGACATGAAGAGACAGGCAGAACATAGCAGAAGTTGGGTGCTGGTGATGACTTTGCCCAAATCCATCATGAGGGGCGACAAGCACAGGTGCCAGCAGGCCCCTGCTTTAATTGTGAGAACTAGCAACTGGCTGCATTGGCTGCTTGCTGGAAGCCTCTGAAATGGTGCTCTGTAGCCAGGGTGTCCATCTTCCCTTTAAGAGCCTTTCAGAGGTCCCAGTCCAGGTAAATAGCATTGCATGGGATATGCTAAATGGCAAGAGTAGGATGCAGCCCAGGTCATTTTTCATTTATCAGAAAATATCTTCTGACTAAGGCTTCTATGAAGCACAGAGTGGAATTAAATGCCCTTCTGTAGGCTTCACTGGACAGAAAACCTGCTTTCCATCCTCCCAGGGTTAGGATGCAGATGTTGACCTTTGTCCTTTGCTCCAGGTTTTGTAGTTAAGGCCTAAGTCTTTGGAGACTGGAGAGAGGTTAAGAGCCAGTCTGCAGGATCAATAAAGGAAGGATGGGTCCTCTGCCCTGAGAAGCCTGGTTGGTGAAATACACTGGAGGAGTCTTTGTTCTGCCATAATCCTTAGGACAGCAGAGGAAGCTTACTGACCTTTGAGATGAGCTGGCTGGGGTCATGGCTGGTGAGAATGACCCTTGGCCTTGCCAGGATAATAATGATGGTAACAATAATTGGGACTGTTTATTACTCAATAAATAAAGCATCTAGCCCAGTGCTAGATGGCAGGTACTGGGCTAGATGCTTTATATATGCTATCTAATATAATGCTTATTACAAATCCTGAGAGATAAGTGACATTTTCTTCTCTTAGAAGAAGCCTACTTACCCAGCAGGGAGTAGTGGAGTCAGGATTTGAACTCAAGTCTGTCTGATACCAAAGGCCATACTTTTCTCACCATACCACACTATTTTCCTGAGATTAAAGACACTGGAGCTATGGGGCAGAACCCAGCTGTGTGCTGTGACGAATTCTGAGATCTGTATCGTGACTTGGCATTCGGATGGGATTGGTGGAGTTGTTGTGCCCATCCACAACCCCTCCCTGATAACTGGGATACCCATTTTGATATTTTGGCCTTAGACTTGGAGGGTATCTCTCAACAAGCAGGCAGATGGAAGAAAGACAAAGCCAAGTGCAGACTGAGCTACATATTTTGTTTTTCTTTTTTGATGAAAAACTCAACATATATCTAAATAGAGAGAATAGAATAATACACCCCCATAACGATGATCAACTTTTTGCTACTCTTTGAGTTGCATTTAAAACTCCACTAGCTAGGCATTAAACTCTAGCAGGCCCCAGAGAGATCAACTTTTCCCAGAGACATACCAGTGTCTTCCTAAGCTTTTCCCACGGCTCAGTGACCTCTTCCAGGCCCCATTCTTCAGCCTGATCCTTGGTCTGGTAGGTGGCCTGTTGGTTACCCTACTTTCTGTCTCTGGCCATTCTTCAGGGGCTGCAGAAAAGAGCTCTAAACATGGAGCGGAGGACCGGACACAGAACATTATCATGGCCATGAAGGACCGCATGAAGATCCGAGAGCGGAATAAGCCGGAGATCTTTGAAGTTATCCGGGATGTCTTCAATGTGAGCAAAGTTGCCCATGTGCAACAGATGAAAACAGTGAAGCAGAGCGTGCTGGATGGCACCTCCAAATGGTCGGCCAAGATTACCATAACTGGTGAGCAGGCCAGAGTTTGAGAGGACAGGAGGGCCTTGGCTATGGGGAGGAGCCTGGGGAGGAAGCATCCTGAATGTGAGGGAGCAGGGGCTGGGGAGAAGGAGCCCAGAATGAAGGAAGAGGGAGGGCCTCATTATTCATCACTGCTCCTCTCCTAGACTCTGATGCCAGGGGGTGCTGGGAGAGGCAAGACTGGCACCTGCAAACAATACGAATGATAATACCAGGATTTGGTAACAGTCTGATGTTATAGACTTGGTTAACAGTTTGATAGTATAAGAGCGGGGAGGGTGGGGGTAAGGGGACAGGCAGGAGATTAGTGAATAGTTAACCAGTGATTTACTAACTGGGTGGATATGGCTGAAGCAAGCATGTAGCAGAACAGATAAGGACCTGTTGGGGTAAGTGTAGGGGTAAGTGGTCAGTTAGGGCTCCAGTGGGGAGGTAGGATTCTTGGGCTAGGCTTTGAGGGAAAGGCTTGTGGCTTAGGGCTAAGGATAGATGTGGAGGAGTGAGAAAATCTGCTCCTGTGCAAGGAGCAGATAGAGGCTGCTCTAAGATGGGAAATATGAGTCGTACTTTGGGGGGCTTATGACTTCTGGAGTGTACTCTGAAGCCTTCTTCTATGTGCATTTGGGTTGCAGTGGTTTGTGCCCAGGGCCTACAAGCCAAGGACAAGACAGGATCCAGTGACCCTTATGTGACTGTGCAAGTGGGCAAAACCAAGAAGCGTACCAAGACCATTTTTGGGAACCTGAATCCTGTCTGGGAGGAGAAGTTCCATTTGTAAGTCATAGTGGGCTTTGTCTTACCTGGGACTGTGTATGTTTTGGGAGCAGCATTAAATCTCATTGTTCTGGGCTTGGGCTCTAAGAGAGATGGGTCAGAGGCAGTGGAGAAAACCCATTTCTCACATGCTTCAATTGGGTAGCAGCTATTCTTTCTCTGGGTTTCTTCTCATAGACTATTGTATCAGGGTTACTGTACCCAAGCCCTGTCTTAACTAGGGCTATTAAAGGGGGCTTTGGGCATCCCATACTGCTTTTTCTAGTGCTAGAAAGATTTTATTATACTACTGCTGAGTGACAGAACCAAGGACTGCCCACCCAACTGTGTATCTTCCAGCCCTGCCATCCTGCCTAGGAAGGGTTAGTCTCTTCGAGGAAGTGGGGAGGGAACATCTTTGTCCTACAACTGGATAATTCTTTCTTGAAGATGGAAACCTGGGATTTGGAGAATTTTCCATTTTCCTTAAGGGCTCTGCTTTTCTTTCTGCCTCAGCTTCCACTCCATACTCCTTTATTCATTATCTCACTTTTTTATAGACTATTTCATATGACAGTGAGGGATGGTTGTTGAAAAATGGCAAGCTCTAGCCGAGGACTTGGACTAATGTCTGGTGAATCTAGATGCTTTGTCACACCCCCTAATGCCTAGGAGCAGGACTTTGTGGGGTTTTTTTTTTTTTTTTTTGCCATACACGGGCCTCTCACTGTTGTGGCCTCTCCCGTTGTGGAGCACAGGCTCCGGACACACAGGCTTAGTGGCCATGGCTCACTGGCCTAGCCGCTCAGCGGCATGTGGGATCTTCCCGGACCGGGGCACGAACCCGTGTCCCCTGCATCGGCAGACGGACTCTCAACCACTGCGCCACCAGGGAAGCCCAGGACCAGGAATTTGAATCAGCCAAGCAGGCAGCTTATGTAGAGGCCTTTTTCTGTTGGCTCCTTGGAAGGGGATTGGGGAAAGGGATTGGGGCCTATAAAATCAGTCTCTAATCCAGAGACAATAGTTACTGGGGGGAGCACTTGTTTTTCAAGAAGCTGAATGGTTCCTGCTTGAATATTACCTATGATTAATTCTAAATGAATTGGCTCTATAGTCAATTTTGCCCACTTTTATCATTTAGCAAGCAATTTGTATTCTGTATAAGACACTATACATGATGTTGTGTATCGAAAAATGTATAAGACATCCCTGGCTTCAAGAGGCTGATTGATGATTTGTCTATTATTTTTCAGAAGACCAGTAGCTATACTATAATATTTTAATGGAATGTGCAAAGATATTATGAGAACATAGGGTAAGGAGCAGCGGATTCTGCCAAGTACAACTTTTGGATAAGGCAACAGGGATCCAGAAAGCAACTGCTGGGGAAGAAGAGAGTGAGGGAGGAACCTGGGCAAACTACCTCCTCCAAAGCAAGCACCATAGAGGAAATAATAATTCAAGTGGTTATTAAAGAATGATAGAAATTCTTAGATAGATGAGGGTGTTATGTAGAAAGCTAAAGCATATATGACCAGATGGACTTACCATGAACATTTAACACCTTTATGGACTTCATATAGGATTCTGGGGAGGCAACTAGCAGCTGCTTCCTAGGGCTCTGTGGCATCTGTCTGGCTGTTTTCTGTTGGTTTTGTTGGTACAGGTAGCTGATAGGAAATCACGATTGTCCCTAATTACTCCTTCCCTCCTTGCTTTTGTCCCAGGGCAATAAGAACTGGATAATGGTATGTAGAGAGCTACCCAAGCTAAGGAATGAAGAGCCATTTGCTGGGATAGCCTGACTCACTTGGGACTTGAGTACTACTGTTCTTTGACTCCTTCTCTTCCTCTGCAGGGCCTCAAGTGCAGCTGATAGAGCTTTGGGAGGGAATTGGAAGTAATAAGAGTAGGGGCTCCTGGGTCTCTTCGTAACTGAGCCTTCCTAATTCTTTCACAGTGAGTGCCACAACTCTTCTGACCGCATTAAGGTACGTGTGTGGGATGAGGATGATGACATCAAGTCAAGAGTAAAGCAGCGGCTAAAGCGAGAGTCTGATGATTTCCTTGGCCAAACCATCATTGAGGTTCGAACACTGAGTGGCGAGATGGACGTCTGGTACAACTTAGGTGAGGAAGCAGGACCAGAGGAAATTTCTGGGAAGGGAGAGCATGAATGGGGAACCTGGGGAAACTCCTATCTACCAAAACCACCACTCAGTCCCCAAAGCACACCTCTATACAGAGCCTTGCCTTCCCTGCAGAGAACCAACCGTGCATAGAGATGGGGGACAGAGGAGTGGGGGTGTCTGGAACTCACTCTGGCTGGACATTTTCCAGATTTCAGAAGGCCTTTTTATCTTCATACTCAGCCCTAATGCCTTTAGTCCCTTGGGCACTTCTTTTCTCCCACCCAGCCAGTTCTGGGGTATTTGTGGACCATATGGTCACTGGAATTAGTTCACCTATTAGGTGAACACTTGGGTCAGTGCCTCCTTTTCCTTGGGTTAAGCCAGGTTGGGGGCTGTCTATGCTGTCTGCAGTTGCATTGGTGTCACTCTCCAGTCTTCTTTCCTTCCTAGAGAAGAGGACAGACAAATCAGCCGTCTCAGGGGCTATCCGACTACAAATCAATGTGGAGATCAAGGGGGAGGAGAAGGTAGCCCCGTATCATGTGCAGTATACGTGTCTCCATGAGGTGAGCCAGCTCTTGGTAGATGGGATGCCAGAAAGCAGTGTTGGGAGGGGCCTTTGACAATAAGTAGGATTGCTAGATGGTTGAAGATCTGGAGCCTATTTTTATTTTGTTCTTGGCTCACTGTGCTACCCTGGACAGCCCATGTAACAGTCCCAGCCTCAGTTCTCTTTTACTAATGTGAGAACAGCCTACTGGGGCCACAGGAGTTACTGAGCAATGACTTGAAGGACAGAATTGCTATAGAACCCTATTCACATTCCCCTGGTCTTTACCAGCAGGTTTTCTTTTCTTCAACATATATTTAACTCTTTAATATCAATATATATTTTACTCTGTCTTCTACAGAACCTCTTCCATTACCTCACAGACATTCAGGGCAGTGGAGGAGTCCACATCCCTGAGGCTCGAGGAGACGATGCATGGAAGGTGTACTTTGATGAGACTGCCCAAGAAATTGTGGATGAATTTGCCATGCGCTATGGCATCGAGTCCATATATCAGGCTATGACGTAAGGCTCCCCTGGGGCTCTAGGAAATGGCTGCTAACCTTTGGAGTAGCTAACAATGGAGGTACACTGACAGAGTGGTTACGTCTTCAGTGGGGTAGTATGCAGTGATTTATTGCTTTCCTCTCTGAGCTGGGTAGGGTGGATCTGTGCAAAGAGAGTCTATGTATAAAAGGAGTGTGTTGGGTTTCCCTGGTGACACAGTGGTTGAGAGTCTGCCTGCCGATGCAGGGGACGTGGGTTCGTGCCCCAGTCCAGGAAGATCCCACATGCCGCGGAGTGGCTGGGCCCGTGAGCCATGGCTGCTGAGCCTGTGCGTCCGGAGCCTGTGCTCCGCAACGGGAGAGGCCACAACAGTGAGAGGCCCGCGTACCGCAAAAACAAAAAAAAAGGAGTGTGTTTATCAGTAACTCAGGGAGAAGGTATTAGTCTGTCTACCCCGGAGTTCACAGGTAGGAAGAGAAAAGGGCATGGGAAGGTATACAAGGACAGACTTGCCCAAACATCACAGGCCTGAGCAGACAGGGTATGTGTGCTCAGGTACATGTGTGTGATAGACAAGCTTTCATAAACTGGCCTGGGAGTCGGAAAGAGCACTGAACTGTAGGTAAAGCAGCTGTGTCTGCAGTTGACCAAGACTCCTATAAAAGAAATTCCCACCTACTATGAGAAGAGGTGTAGTCTGTGTATTGGAAAGGCTGCCATTAGAAGCAGCACTAGGAAGCTGCACAGGAAGCAGCACTAGGTAAGCAGAGGGTAGCTAGTGCCCTGGCTGTGCTTCATTTATTCTACAAACTTCTACTTAGTTCCTTCTATGTGTCATACGTTGTGCCACATGCTGAGAACACAAAGATGAATAAGATGGGGTCTCTGTGCTTGGGGAACTCAGTCTAGCAGGAGAGACAGACCAGTAAACAAACAATTACAATATAATATAATAAGTGCTATAGTAGAAGTAATCACAGTGTATTATGAGAGCATCTAAATTTTAGGGGAGGACTTTGAAGAAAGCTGTTGAAGAGTTGACACTTGAAATACAGAAAAGGAGGAAGGGTATTTCTGGTAGGGCATGTGCAGGGATGCTAAGATGCAACAGAGCATAGACTATTCAAAGAATTACAAGAAGTTTAGTTTAGATGGAAGAAACATGTCGAGGATTGGGGTTGGAGAAAGGGCCCTCTGCCATTCTTACCCTGTTCACTCTCCCTGGATGAGTTCATTCAAGCCTATGACCTAGTCACTACTTCTGAGCTTAGGACTCCCAGATCTCTTTCTCCAGACCAGACCTTTTCCTGAGTTTCAGATCCATTTTCATTTGCTTCCTGGCTATTCTCATAGGCACTGCAAACTCAACATGACCAAAATCCAAATCAACATTATCTCCACCAAATCTGTTCTTCCTATATTCCCTATTTTAGTAAATGGAACAATTTATTACACAGTTATCCAAACAGAAATTTAGGAGTCAGCCTAAACATTTCTTTCATACTACCACCATTCAATCAGTCTCTAAAACCTCTAGATTCTATCTCCTAAAAATGTTTTTAATCTATCAGTATTGCTATAGCTCAGTAATAATGATAATAATAGTAACAGCAACAACAACAACTCCTATGTACCATTGCCTTATGTGCCAGGCACTGGTCTAAGTAATTTATGAATGTTAACTCATTTAATCCCCATATCATTATCATTCCCATTTTATAGATAAAAAGACTGAAGCATGAAGAAGTTGAAGTAATTTATCCAAGGTCACTGAGCACTGGAGCTGAGACTCAAACCCAAAGTCTGGCTCCAGGGTCTGTGCCCTTAACCATTTCTCTGTTCCATTTAGTGCTTCATTGCTTCTTTTCTGAGTGATTGCAGTAACTCTTCAATTGGTATTTCTCTCTGTCTTATCTCTCTCCAAGTTTTCGTTTCTAATTTTTACCTTCAAAGTGACCTTTCTGAAAGACTAATCTGATCACAGTATGCCTTTGTTTATAAACTTACTATAGCATCTAGGATAAACTCCTTTATTACCTGTTCTCTGTCTACTTCTCTTGCATTTCGTAGTATTCCTCTATCAAACACCTGAACAGTAGCCATGAGTGAGGTTTCCCAAATGAATGACTCTCCATAAGTATATTTGTTTTTGCAATACAGTTTCCCTTTGCCTGCACACTTCTGCATTTGATTGATTCTTACTAATCCTTTAAGACTTGTTTCACCCATCACTTCTTTGGGAAGCCTTTTTCTAATCCCTTCTAGCCCCCAGCCATTCTAATTTAGGTGATCTTCCTGTGTGTGTCCACAGAATTTTTGCATAGCATGCCTTGGGTTATTGACTTACTTTCTAACACTTGCTTTCTCTGCCAGAATGTCACCTCTTTGGATTCTGGCCTTTAATGCCAGGCCTGGTACATAGTACATGTTCATTGATGTATATTTGAGTGAGTAAATTATGAAAATCCTTGTATGCCAAGGTGATCGGAAGCTTCATATACATGAGTGAGATCTTTTGATTACTTGACCTTTGCTGCAAACCCTGAAGAGCCTTTGAGGCTGAAGGTGCTGTTTTTCAGGCACTTTGCATGTTTGTCATCCAAGTACATGTGTCCTGGTGTGCCAGCAGTGATGAGCACCTTACTGGCCAACATCAATGCCTACTATGCCCACACAACCGCCTCCACCAATGTCTCTGCATCTGATCGTTTTGCAGCCTCCAACTTTGGGGTGAGTGTGACGTAAAAACATGTAACCTGATTGTTATCAGTTAACAAAGTTTGATTTTTTAGTCAGTACTGCAGAGCTGATATGCTTGAAATTCAGATAGTTGCCACCTGGATAATGAACTTATTTCCTTATGGGTAGTTAGACTATACTAGTAGACTCTCCTCAGACGTGGATAAGTGAGAAAAGGTGGAATAGCACCACTGTGGTTTGTGGGCTGGGGCACTACCTGGGCTCAGGGAGAACCTCTCTGGGCCAACAGCTTGGTTGAATCACCATGTTCCTCAGTCCTGCAGGTTCACAAAGCAACCTTCTTAATATTATTCAGTCTCTCTCTGACGGATTCATACCAGTTAAGTTCATATGAGACTGATGTCTAAGCAAGAATACCAGTTGCATACCTGAGCCTGTCCCTTTTCTAGTGTCTGGACAGTTTTCCTGATCCAGGGTATGCCCTTTCCTGTTGTTAAGGTACTTGTGAAGTTGAATCATTGTTCATAATGTCACCTGACATAAGTTCAGTGTAAACTGGATGGTATATATCAGACTCACCACAAATATTACCTCTTTAGGGATAAAATTACTGATACTCCCAAATCTGCTGGATCTCTGAGCCCTTTTTCCTGGTATTGACCACTTTTTTGATGTTGTTGATAGTCTTTCTGTAGATGAATTAGTATCATTGACTAAGCCAGTCAAATATCTGTTCCATTCTGTCTCTCCACATTATGTATTGACTTAACTAATATCTAATGCTATATATGATATTATCAATATGTGAGTTCTAGGAGTGCTGCACCAACAGCTTACAGGAACATGATTCCACGTTTAATTATACCTTTTCTATAAAAATAAGCTATTAAATAGTATTTTTTATTTATTTTAACATTTAAAAAGTGTAAACTAAGGGAAATGATATGGAATGTGGTTTAAAGAGAAATCCCCTTGTGTCTCCCTGATCACCTTCCAGATGCATCACTATTTCTCTCTCCCGTTGTCACTGCTAGGCTGTGTCTGTTTAACTGTTAAGAGCTATTCCAAGATAAGTTAGTACACCACAGACCCAGGAACAAGTTGGAGAATGTGTTTAGAGTTTCCTTTTATCTGACTGAGATGAGTTAGAGTCCCAAAGGGATGGAGATGCACTGGTCATCTCTTCTTGATTTGTATAGAAAGCTGTTTCCCCTCCCAGAGACTTGCTTTCCTCTTGCCAGTGTGAGAAGATTCCCCAGTTTAAGTGCTAAGAGATGGAACAGGAAAGACCTATCCCATTTCTCTTTTGCATGGTTTGTTGTTCTCCTCATGGGCAAATATGGGACAGGGTATGTCCCCAGCTCAGTGTCTCCCTCTCACCCAGAGATGGTTCTCTTTTTGCTACAGTCTAGAGAGCTTGGAAATAGATTATTTCTGTTCCTCATTATTTCTTTATCATCCTCAGAAAGAGAGATTTGTAAAACTACTGGACCAACTGCACAACTCACTGAGGATTGACCTCTCTACATACAGGGTGAGTGAAGACATGGCTATGGGGTGGGACAAAGGGTAATATCAAGATCAGTCTAGAGAGACTGTGGACCAATCATGACTATAAAGATCGAAGGCAAAGAAAATTGGTCTTTGTCATCACATCCACATATATGGCCAACGTCACTGACACCTGTGGTTCTTCAAACTCCAAGGACCATGCAGTGTGTAAATAGTAGCATGTGTGGCTGCTTTTTATAGATAGTTGGCTTTCTAACCCCACTCATGTCACTCTACCAAACTCTCTGATGACATATTCATCAAGGAGTTTCCTAAGGCTAATCTCTTCCAGAAAGGCCCCTTTAAAAATTAGATAATTATATTTCCTTATTGCATCTTTCCATATTCTCCTCATTTTCCAGGAGAGGTGTGAGAATCTGGCTAAGGGGAGAGAGAGTATCTTGGCTTGGGCAAGTAATTTGTAGCAGATGTCATGTCCATTTCTAGAATGAAGGGAGGAAATAGATGTAGTAGGAGGGTGGGTGCCTAGGACAGGACAGGGAAATGGGCAGTTTTTCCGTTCTTTCTAAGTTAGGCCTTCTTAGAATGACTTCATTACTTGATTTAAAGTGTTGTGAATTTCCAGAACAGGCAATATATCCACATTAAAAAGTAAGTACAAAAACAATCTCATAGTCAAAAAGAAGTGAGATTTTAATTATCTGCACTTTCAGTGCCCTCCATTTGCACGAATAATGGAGAGTTGACTGTATATCTTGTATTTGGCATATAAGTAGCCATTTGAAGGTTTAAAAAAACAACCCTTAAAATGGAGAGTGGCACAGCATCATCCCTAAGCTTTCTTTGGCAGCTTCCTCCTGAAACTCCTGCCAAGGAGAATGAAGTGAGACATGGTGGAAAGATCCTAAGGAACTTGCTCCAAAAGCAGTTCTGCTCAGAGCTTTGCCATCTGCTGGCTCCAGAATGGTGGAGTAACTGGGATCCACTATACAGAAAGTACATGTCTTAGATCCCAGTCTGGCCTGTAGCATGGCTCCACTTATATTCCAGGATATACAGTTAGATTGTAACTTTTGAAGAACTCAGTTTGGGTGTAAGAATCTTCACCCAAGAAAAATGTGTGTGTGTGTGTGTGTGTGTGTGTGAGTGTGTGTGTGTGAATGTTCATTTGTGCAAATGCTCACACGTTGCATGGGAAGTAGAAGTAGTGTTGGGGGTAGGATGTGTTGCTTTCTGGGCTGGGGATTATTAACCCCTGCTTTTGGCAAGGGCCTGTGTCTGTGGAAAAGAGAAGGAGACCTGTAGTCTTACAGCTTTTTTGTTCCTCTCAACTAGGGAAGATCCCAGTGGGTAGCACTTAGGGAAGCTTCTGATTTCATTGCTTTTGGCAGGGAAGGCTTTCATATTCTTCTGTTCCTTTCTTATATTTGCTTGATCGGCAATAGAATAATTTCCCTGCTGGGAGCCCTGAGCGACTTCAGGACTTAAAGTCCACAGTGGATTTGCTGACCAGCATTACTTTCTTCAGAATGAAGGTAAGAGATGAACTGGGCTGGGCAGTGCTAGGCTGGGGACCTGGCCACAGGGACATGGAGAATAAGAATCACTGGGCATAGTCAAAGGCTATAGGATTTATCACCTTTAAGCCCACATTTCCATGTATCTGTTCCTGAGTTACTTCTAAGAAGACCATGGGTCAAGGAGGATGGGCTAGGCAGTTCTCCCCATCAGCTGTCCTGACAATTTCATCCCAGGGCAAGGTCCAGGGACCTACAGAGGGATGAAGGAATCTGGAATAATTTGAGGGCAGTTCTAGGAGGAGAGACCACTCAGGTGAGCAGGACCCTGGACCCATATTGTTTTTTATTAATCGGCAGGTGCAAGAACTGCAGAGCCCTCCAAGAGCCAGCCAGGTGGTAAAGGATTGTGTGAAAGCCTGTTTGAATTCAACATATGAGTATATCTTCAACAACTGCCATGACTTGTACAGCCGCCAGTACCAGCTGGTAAGAGGTTCGGGATCAGGTGGGGCCAACTGTCAGTCATTCTTGGAGCCTCAGCTTCCCTTTGGTGTGGTCAGGGTGGAAGGGAGCTCAGGATAAAGTCCTTGATGTTCTAGAGAGTGAGTGAATTGTGGAGTGGGGACCATCTAGACCATGTGAGACATTTGTGGATGGACAGGAATCACTGGACAAGATGTGATGTAACTGAGTTGAACAGAAGTGGCAACAATAAGTTTTACTTTGGTATTGAAGAAAAGTGACCTACATTTGAGCACAGTTCAGGGGGTGAGTAGGGGAATTCTTAGTCCTTCCCAGAGTCTTTGGTTTCCCCCGAGGTTAATTTTATTCTGACTCATGTGAACCCCTCTATGTTCCAGGCTCCCTTCCCCTGAGATCTAAGCTACTGGCTTGTGGATGTTTAACTTTTCCCTCTGACCACTTTTCTCTGCACTGCATGGTCTTCTGAGACATACTCATTAGCTGACTATCAAGGCTAACCCTGTCCTTCTGGGAGGCTGAGCTGCTTCATCTGGTTTAGGCTGGCATCTTAACTCAGTACCTGGTGACTTTGTATGTTTTTCTAAATCCTTCCAGTGGTATCCTTTTTTTTCTTATTTCAAAGCCAGGACTTCCTTCTGGGTCTAATTACTCAGTTACAGTTGACATTTTAGGAATGTCTTGCTGAGCACACATTTGTAGAGTAGATTCCCTTCAGTCCAACAAATATGTGTTGAATGTTTGTTCTAGGCCAGCTCTGAGGAAGCATAGTGCTCCTTCAGTTAGTTCACAGTCACATAAGCATATGTATAACTCCAACCAAAGTCTGTTAGAAGGGACTTGAAAGAGAGATAAATTTGAAGGAGGAAGAAGTAAGTCACTCTTGATGAGATATTAGGAAAAGCTACATAAAACAAGGGTATTTGAGATAGACCTTGAAAGGCAGTAGGATTTGGATAGCAAATGATGGGAGGACAACCTAAATCTCTGGGACATTTACCCTTTGGTGAAGACATCCAATTTGTAATTCTTCCCAGGAGCGCCTTAGTAAAGACTAAAATCTTGTTCATACTCCCCCTTTGCATTGTCAAATTTGCTTTTTGTGCAGGTACTATCTTTACAACTTCCTCCTTTATTTGTTTTTGGCTGCGTTGGGTCTTCGTTGTGGTGTGCGGGCTTCTCATGGTGATGGCTTCTCATGTTGCGGAGCATGGGCTCTAGGCACGCGGGCTTCAGTAGTTGTGGCTCACAGGCTCAGTAGTTGTGGCTCAGGCTCAGTAGTTGTGGCTCACAGGCTCTAGAGCACAGGGTCAGTAGTTGTGGCACACGGGCTTTGTTGCTCCGTGGCATGTGGGATCTTCCCAGACCAGGGCTCGAACCTGTGTCCTCTGCATTGGCAGGCGGCTTCTTAACCACTGTGTCACCAGGCAAGTCCCACAACTTTCTCCTTTTTAGGTCTGTAAAACCTCCCACTCGTTCTGAAGTCCATGGGAGGTTTTCCTGGAGTCTTTGTTTAGCTTGCCACACTTGAGGCTCTGTCGTCCATCTGTGGATTCTCTCTGGTAGGGGAAAGACACTGTTCTCAGCTTTTATCTTTCAAGTATGCAGCGGTCTGTCTGAATATTTGGTCTCTATTCCCTAGCATGAGATGAACCTAGACTTTGAAAGAGGACTTACAAAACCATTCAGGGACTTTCTTTAGCCTTTGTATTTTGCTAACTGTTTTTTACTTTCTCTCACTCTCATTTTCTCATTGTTCATTATTTGTACTGAAGTAAACCCTTGGTATCTTTTATTTCCCTCTACTGACCTTCAGTCATTGGCTCATTCGTCTATCCATTCTTTTAACAGGTCGAGCACTAGGGATGTAAAGATGATTAAGGCACATTTCTGCTTTGGGGGAGCTCATTGTTTGGTGGAGGTGGGGGCAAATTACTACATTTGTTGGTTTTTGTTATTTTATTGTTACTATATTTTATTGTAGCTGTAGTTATTTGTTACATCTATATGAGAGGTTCACAGAGGGTGCTCTGGGAGCCCAGAGAGAGGCATCTAACCAGACCAGGGGTGTCAGGGAATACTTCTCAGAAAAGGTAGAGCTCAACATAAATTTTGAGCAATGAGTATGAATTAGCTAAAGAAAGGGGCTGGGGAGGAGGGGGATACCATATAGAGGAAACGGAATGTTTGGAGACACAGAATTGTAAATGAGTTTATTAATTCGAAGGAGTATAAGCAATTTAATTATGCTAGTTACAGTGTCAGGCTTTAGAGTTCAGCTGTCTGGGGTCAAATCTTGGTTCTGCTGTTTATAGCTACATGACCTTGGTCAAGTCATGGAACCTCACTGTCCTTCAGTCTCCTCATCTGTAAAATGAAGGTGATAATAATTTCTACCCAATGGAGTTGTTATGAGGATTAAATGAGATAATTCATGCAGAGTTCTTAGCAGAGTCCCTGGCATATAGTAAGCACCAAATAATTGGTGGTAGTGGTGTGGTGATGGCTGCAACAGAAGGGAGTGGTTAGGTATGAGGTTGAGAGAGAGGTTGTATTTGGAAGGACCTTTATTTCAAGCTATGGAGCTGGACCTTTTTTGAAGGGTGGACGAGTAACACTAGGAGATTCCTTCCAGAAAGATCACTGACAACTGAGTGGTAGAAGGATTGGATTGACGATCAAAGACCAGTTAGGAGATCCTTGAATGATAAGAGCCTGAGCCAGGATATTGGCAGAAAAAGGAAAAGGAAAAGATGTATTTCAGTGATATTAAGGAGGCAGAATCAACCAAATGTGGATTCTGTCCTGGTTTCTAGTAATTTCCTGGTAATGCAGGTTTATTAAGGACTGTGGAGATTTGTGATGATATATGGCATCCTATATAAAAGCCCTATTCCTGTGCTCCTGGGAAATTCCAAATTTGCTCTTATCTCAGTGGGAAATAATGTCCATTCCAGTCTGTCAGTGGTGACCTTTACTTGTCCTGTCTGGGATTTGCCATCCACCATTGTATTCCTTTGTTTCTTCCCAGCCAAGGCCTTTTCTTTCTTTTTTCCCAGCTTTATTGAGATATAATTGTCATATAATATTGTGTAAGTTTAAGGCATACAATGTGTTGATTTGATACATGTGTATATTGTGAAACATCTACCACAATAAGGTTAGTTAACACATCCTTCACTCACATAAATACCATTTTGTTTCTGTTATGGTAAGAATATTAAAGCTTTATTCTCATAGCATCTTTCAAGTATACAGTACAGTATGTATTGTTATCTATAGTCATCATGCTGTACCTGTGATTCCTGGAACTTACTTCATCTTGTAATTGAAAGTTTGTACCCTTTGACCAACATCTCCCCATTTCCTCCACCCCCTCAGCCTCTGGCAACAACCTTCTCCTCTCTGTTTCTATGAGTCTGATGTTTTCAGATTCCACATATAAGTGAGATCATATAGTATATGTCTTTCGCTGTCTGACTTATTTCACTTAGCATAATGCCCTTCAGGTTCATCCATGTTGTCACAAATGGCAGGATTTCCTTCTTTTTTATGACTGAATAATATTTCACTGTATCTGTGTGCCACATTTTCTTTACCCATTCCTCTATCAATGAACATTTAGGTCATTTACATGTCTCGGCTATTGTGAATAATGCAGCAATGAACATGGGAGTACAGGAATATCTTCAGGATAGTGGTTTCATTTCCTTTGGATATTTACCTAGACGTGGGATTGCTCGATCATATGGTAGTGATATTTTTAACTTTTTGAGGAACCTCCATAGTGTTCTTGGTAGTAGCTATACCAACTTATATTCTCACCAACAGTGCACCAGGGATCCGTTTTCTCTACATCCTCGCCAGCATTTATCTCTCCTTTTTTTAAAAAATAAATTTATTTATTTATCTTTGGCTGCGTTGGGTCTTCGTTGCTGCACGCGGGCTTTCTCTAGTTGCAGCAAGTGGGGGCTGCTCTTCGTTGTGGTGCGTGGGCTTCTCATTGCAGTGGCTTCTCTTGTTGTGGAGCATGGGCTCTAGGCACGCAGGCTTCAGTAGTTGTGTCATGAGGGATCAGTAGTTGTGGCTCACGAGCTCTAGAGTGCAGGCTCAGTAGTTGTGGCACACGGGCTTAGTTGCTTCATGGCACGTGGGATCTTCCTGGACCAGGGCTCAAATCCATGTCCCCTGCATTGGCAGGAGGATTCTTAACCACTGTGCCACCAGAGAAGTCCCTCTCTTCTCTTTTTGATAATAGCTATTCTAACAGGTATGTTATCTCATTGGGGTATTGATTTGCATTTCCCTGATGATTGGTGATGTTGAACATCTCTCCATATACTTGTTGGGCATTTGTATATTTCCTTTGGATAAATGTCTAAGTCCTCTGCCCGTTTTTTAATCAGATTTTTTTTGCTATTGAGTTGTATGAGTTCCTTATATATTAATATTTTGGAAATTAACCCCTTATCAGATACATGGTTTACAAATATTTTCCACCATTCTGTAGGTAGTCTTTTTATTTTGTTGATTGTTTCTTTTCCTGTGTAGAAACATTTTAGTTTGATGTAGTCCCACTTACTGATTTTTGCTTTTGTTGTCATATCCAAAAAATCATTGCCAAGACCAATATCAATGAGCTTTTTCCCTATGTTTTTTTCTAGGAGTTTTATGGTTTCAGGCCTTACCTTTAAGTCCTTAATCCATTTTGAGTTAATTTTTGTGGGTGGTTTGAGATAGGGGTCCAATTTCATTCTTTTCCCTGTGAATATCCAGTTTTCCCATTACCATTTATTGAAGAGACTATCCTTTCCCCATTGAGTATTCTTGGCTCTCCATGGTCTTTTCTTTTCCAGCTAAGCAAATAACTTTCTAGATGCAATTCTTCCCCCTAGTAACATTCAGGGAAGTTAAGGGAAGTTTTGCTTCACTGAAGGCTGGGCCAACCTGCATGCTAGGTCTGTTACGTAGCTCCTGCAGAACTTGAAGGAGGTTTTCAGAGTTGAGATGTACATGTGTGTGGTAGGGCAGGGGGTGATATTAGAGGAGGGCCATCACTAGAAGAGAAGGACTGCCAGTGGGGGTCACATGGAACTAGACCTACTTAGACTGGAAGGGCTGCGTACTTCAGCCAAGAAGTCACTATATCCATAGGTACTGGGAGAACGAGGAAGGGGGACAGGCATCTTTATGCCTGACCGAACTTGTCAGAACAGTGCCCTGGAGCTGGGGAGAGAAGTTCTCAAGGACAGACTCTTCATGTCCAAGAACCTCCCAGTGGTCACCTCTCTGCTAGAACAGGTATGGTCTTGTGGAAGACAGGCTGTAGGAGAGGAAGGGTCCCTGATTCTCAAGGAAGGGGCATGGAGTGGGGAAGAGAGAGAGGAAGACTCTCCATATTCTACTCTGACTCTCACTGTCTATCACCATCTCCTTGGGAACAAGAATCAGGAGCTACCTCCAGAGGAACAAGGGCCCAGCATTAAGAACTTGGATTTCTGGCCCAAACTCATCACGCTTGTTGTGTCAATCATAGAGGAAGATAAGAATTCCTACACACTCGTTCTGAACCAGTAAGTATCACCTCACTTGGCCCTGTCTGTTTAGTGGTTTGTTTGTCCATCTGTCTAACAGCCTCTTTCTTTCCTATCTCTATGTGTTTGCAGTGCCACCTCTTCCTCCTGTTCGTCCATCTGTCCCTCTGTCCCTTGTATCTGTCTGGGTAACTGTTTCTGGAGACAGGTGTGGAAACATAATGGGGGGCCCTGCCCAGACTGAGCCAGCCTCCCTTGAGTGAGAGACCTCTGGGAATGGCTGCCATAGGAGTCCCAGGGGATCCAGAGAGCATGTGTGTATGTGTCTGTCTGCTATGAATAAAGTGGGCCTTCTTATACCCACCTCCTTGCCCTTTCTCCTCCTGTTTATTTAGCCTGGGCATGTCTTCCAACCTCAGCAATTCTCCTCTTGGCCACAATTCCCTGCCTTCTAGGCATCATCTCCCCTAGGGCCACCTTGCCTGAGGGGATCCTCTGCCCCCAATTGTCCTACCACTGGCCCCTGGGTCCCTTTTCTGCAGTTTGAGCCTAGTAGCCCTGTTTCCTAGGCTTCTCCTCTCTTCGATCTGACCTCCAAGAACTAGGCATGTTAGCCTTGGAATCAATCAAATCAAATGGCTCTTGCCATGTTCTCTGACTGTGGCTTCTTCCATCATCCAGGTTTCCTCAGGAGTTGAATGTGGGAAAAGTCAGCGCAGAAGTGATGTGGCAACTCTTTGCCCAAGACATGAAATATGCACTGGAGGGTAAGGGTGTGCCCAACGCAGTGGGCTGCAGACCCCTAGTCCAAGCACCTTGTTTGCTGTCCCTTTCTTCTCCCAGACAACTACAAGTTCTAGGTGAATAATACAGTGAGAAAGTAGAGTGATTTTAGGCATGGTGGGTGATAGGCCTCAGGGTAGGCAAAGCTTCAGCCAAAGGAATAATGGAAATTGCTGTGTGGATGTAGGTTCCTCCCTCCAGCTTTAGAGCAAGTGCCTATTTAAAAGTTTCCCATCCCAGAGATCAACCCTTCCCATGCTGGGTGTTCTCAAGTGGCCCTCTCACTAGAGAATGGTCTTATGAAACTTATCTTTACAGTTTTACAGAATCTCAGAACCTTAAATACATAGATAGGTAAGGATTATTTTCTCATGCTGTAGACTGCCTGGCCTGACTTTCCTTGAAGGTTGTTCTCGATTGGTGTGACAAAGCCAGAAAGATACATCTTCCCTCACTTCTCCTGTAGAACAGGGTCCCAGGCCAATTATTACTCATCTTGTTCATTCAGCTTATTCTTTTATTCATTTCCCACTTTGGTCCACAAAGATATCACTCCCTACCTGTATCAGACCTTCCCATTTATACCCATCTGTGCTCACTTATTTAGCTGCATTTCCTGTCTGTTTATATATGTTAAAACATATATATGTTTATATATAAATAAACATATATATGTTTAAAACAAACACAAAAGGTTTAAACTGCTTCAAGAGAAAGAACTAGGGCTTCCCTGGTGGCGCAGTGCTTGAGAGTCCGCCTGCCGATGCAGGAGACGCGGGTTCGTGCCCCGTTTCGGGAAGATCCCACATGCCGCGGAGCGGCTGGGCCCGTGAGCCATGGCCACTGAGCCTGCGCGTCCGGAGCCTGTGCTCCGCAAATGGGAGAGGCCACAACAGTGAGAGGCCCGCATAACGCAAGGAAAAAAAAAAAAAGAGAGAGAGAGAAAGAACTAATGTTGACCTGGTTTCAAATCTCAGTTTAACCACCTACTCAACAGTGTGTCCTTAGACTGAGCTACTTAACTTTTGTGAGCTCCCATTTTCTCATCTGTAAAATGGGAGTGATTATAGCATCTATTTCATTGAGCTAATGAAGTAACTGAGATGTATGTGACATACTTAGCATACTGCCTGGCATTTATTAAAGGCTGATGAGCAGAGATGCAATGTTAACAAAGTAGTATTTTTGTAAGATTTTACCTCAATGGAAAATGGGGGCAGATGGAACAGGGAGAGACTGGAAGCAGAGTGCAGATAATGTAATCATTTAGGGCTGAGGGGTTGGGGCTGGGATTAGAGCAGAGGAATTAGAGGAAGAATGCGATTTGATAGACATTGGAAGGAAGTTGTGACAGGGCTTAGTGATTGTCAGAATGGTGGAGGGCAAGAGAAAGGGAGACCTGTTTAATAAAAGGATAGTGTTGACTCCAACTGTGAAAATGCTATCATTCACCCAGTATTTTTAAAGTCAACTTTATTGAGGTGTAATATACATACAATAAAATAAAAACACTTTAAGAGTACAATTTGATGAGTTTTGACAAATAAGTGCACCTGTTTAACTACTGTCCCAATTAAACTATAAACAGAAAGTTTCTTCATGCCCCTTTGCAGTAAATCCCCACCCCATTCACCAAGCGTATTGAGTATTTTCTTTGTGCCGCGCACTGTGCTAGTTGAGATGAATGAGGCATAGCCCCAGCCCTTGAGAAGCTCCCAGATCAGTCAAGACAACAGACCTATAAACTGGCAGTTACAATTCAAAGTTGTTAAGTGCTACCAAAGGAATAAGCATAGGGTGCTAAGAGGAGACCCATGTAACCTGGACCTGGGAGGAGCACCTGGGAAGGCTTTCTGGAGGAGGTGATGTACAAACTGACACCTGAAGGATGATAAAACTTAGCTGGTGGGGAGGGAGGGCATTAGTGACAGGGAAGGGAGAGACAGGCATTTTAGGCAGAGGGTACAGTATGTTCAGAGACCTGGGGTCTAGACAGAGCTGGCATGCTTGGGGAACTGGAAGCAGTAGTTCAGTGTGACTAGCACTTTAGAGTGTAGGGGAAGAGAGGAGTGAGAGGTGAAGATAGAGAAGTAGGACAGAGCTAGATCATACAGGAGGTTTTAAGCCATGTTTAGGATTTTGGACTCTACCCTGAGGTAGTTGAGAGGCATTGAACAACAATCCCATGTTAAGAAAGGGATTAACATAACTAGATTTTTAATATAGAAAGGCCACTCACTCTGGCTACAGTATGGAGAATAGGTTGGAGGAGGAAAGACCAGTTTGGAGACTATTGTGGTAATCCATGTTAGCAAAGGTGGTAATGAGACCTAGACAGGTAAAAGTGTAACTAGAAAGAAATGGATAAATTCCAGAGGAGTTTTGGAGATGAAATCAACAGCGATTGGTGAGTTAATTGGATGTGAATAAAGAGGAAGAAGGAAGACTTGAGGATGATGCTCAGCATTGAACAAGAGGGTAAGATTAGTGTGTATACTCCAGCTTCAGCTGGAGATGTTAAAATGGCAAAAGGTGGTGACTGGAGTTAAACCCAGGCAAAGTGAGATGTTCCATCAAATCCTTGTATAGACATTACCAGAACCGGGGAGATATCAGCGAGCTGGAAAGTTGAAATCATGAAGTTGAAAGAACTCTCCAAGGATGAAAGATGAATGGAGGGAGGATTGTGGCAGTCACGGGCAGGAGAAGGTTTAGATACCCTTCTGCCCCTTTTGACAGGTTAACCACACCCTGATCACCACACCCCACCGTCAACAGCCTCAAGCGACTACTGGAGCATGACTCCATGGGAGTCTAACTATTGTTAGAATAGTTTAAAGTGTGCCCAGTGTTTCAGCAATCATCCTCTTAGTTTTTGTACCACAGAAGTTAATTAGAAATTGGGGTTTTGAACCAGAGTACAGATGATGGATTGACAGAGAAAGTGAGAATTCTCTGTAAATACAGTAACTTGAAGGTCCCTGGAAGAAAGCAGTTAGGGAGCTCTGGAGTGATGGAGCAGCATTGCTTCACTTCTAGTGGGTTGTTGAACAGGAAGGAGGAAGGGCCCTCTTGCTGGTACCTTTTCACGTTTCTAGGTTCTTGGCCTGGTTTAAGGACAGCAGGGCAGGAGAGAAGGGGCAAGCCCTGAGAGAGTCTCTCTGATGTCCCTGATTTTTTCACTTTCTTTCTTGCTCATTGGTGTCTCTGCTCTGTCACAAGCATCCACTGTCATTCGTATACGAAAAGTCCTCTTTCTGGGTGGTAAGAACTTTTGGTTGTTGTCCCTTTACCTCTAGTCTTACTGCTGTTTCCTCTTCTCTTGCTCACTGCTTCATAGAAGAGACTGCAAATGCAACTTTGGGTTGAGATGGTGCTGCCTACAATGCCAGGAGATGAAATTCCTGGAACAAGGGAGCCTTTTGAGGCTGAATCCCAGGCTCCCGTTTCCTCCTTGAGTGTCTGCTGTACTATTTCACAAGGGCCAGCTGCCCCAGACTGGCTCTTCTGCCTTGACATGGAGGAGCGTCACCCATGGCAACTCTGAGTTGAGCAGTAGAGTTCCCAAGGACAATGATCTTCCCTTCTCTGTTGCTCAGTACTCTCCCCTGTTTGCTTGCTTTCACCATTGTTATATGTAAGCACACAGTTGGCTTTTATTGTTCAAACTAATGCTTCTTCTCTAAAGGGGGTAAATGAAGAAAGCCTGTGGGTGTGGCCAGTGCTAGACTCTCTGGGCAAGCTGTGGGTGATCTTTATCCTAGATTTCCCAGAAGGCTCTGCAGATTCAGCTATATAACCTTTCAAGTCCATAAGCATCCCATTTTCTGTAGCAGGATGGCCCTTTCATCTGGCTGTGTTTCCAAACTGACTTGTTTGCATACTTCTTTGAGAGTTCATTTTTCAGTGTCCCAGCTCTGCTCTGGGACCCTTCAGTTTACTTCAAGATTCTGTTACACCATGGCTGCTCAACTGCTCGTTCTGTCAGCTCAGGCCCATTTTGGTTTTCCCTGTGTCTGTGTGGTTGTCAGTGACCCATTTATGTCATATACGACTGCTCATCTCATTTAAATCCATCTGAGGAAATGGCTCAGGTACTAGGATTAGAAAAGCCCTGGAAAACCGTCATGTCTCTCCAGTCCTGGGCAGTTTCCCCACTAATCAGCCTTAGCACCTACATCCTTTTCTCCTCTTCTTCACCAGAGGCCAGTACCTCACTTGCACTTCCAAAAGCCAGCACAGGAAGACCGTGGGCCTTATCTGGGTGTCTGGCTTAGTCTCTAAAGAAAGATTTGGGCCAGGCTTTTAGCAGAGTACCCACTGTTAGAGGGAGATGGCTGTGAGGAGGTGCTTGGGAGTCACCCTTGTTCTCAGACATTTGATAGAGCCACCTGACTAGATCTGCCGCCTTGGAAGAGCTCAGGAACCTCTGGCCTCTACTGCCAGGACCTGACCCAGCCTTCCTCCCTACCACTAGAGCATGAGAAAGACCGGCTGTGTAAGAGTGCTGACTACATGAACCTGCACTTCAAGGTGAAGTGGCTCCACAATGAATACATGCGGGATCTGCCTGCCCTCCAGGGGCAGGTGCCTGAGTACCCAGCGTGAGTCATCATGTGGGGGCTGCAGAGGGAAGAGGGGCACTTAGGGGTTGGACAAGGCCAGTATCCTTACAGTCAGGTACATGATATATGCCAACCACTAGCTCCAACCCCCAATTTTCCTGCCTGGCTGCAGGTGGTTTGAGCAGTTTGTCCTACAGTGGCTGGATGAGAATGAGGATGTGTCCCTGGAATTTCTGCGTGGGGCCTTGGAACGAGATAAGAAGGATGGGGTAAGTCGGGGGCTTGGGCTTCACAGGGGTCAGGCCAGGTCTCCCAGCAATTAGCTGTCAGCAGAAGTTCCTGGGCTCAACCAGGATGGCTGTCCGTGCCTTGTGGAGTCCATAAGGAGGGCTGTCAAGGGCCGCTGAGCCACCCCTGCTGGGCAGAGAGCCCTTTAGACCCTTACAGACTTGGGAAAAGGTAGCAGCTGAAGATGACCCTGTGTGTGGCCTTCCTTAGTTCCAGCAGACATCAGAGCACGCACTCTTTTCCTGCTCTGTGGTGGACGTCTTCACACAGCTCAATCAGAGCTTTGAGATCATCCGGAAGTTGGAATGCCCAGACCCCAACATCCTTGCCCACTACATGAGGAGATTTGCTAAGGTGACCATGACCTTCCCTACCCCTCCCCTCTTACCTCCATCACATCACAGCCTAGCCACAGGCCTGAGCTCAACCCTTCTTTGTGATGGCCTTTGGGTTAAGCCTGGCGTTACCCCATTCTCCTTTACTTGAGTCTGGGGCAGACAGGTGGGTTTGTTTCAGTGTTGTTCTGGGGTTGAGAGGGAGATTTGTCCTTTACTTTGACATTCCCCTTTGCATACCTGTTGTTACTGTTCTGGGATGAGAAGTACAACCTCAGGTAAGATCCCTGTGGGTAGAGCTAAGGGTTCCCTCTCCTTTCCTTTTCTCCTCTTTTCTCAGACCATCGGGAAGGTGCTGATGGAATATGCAGACATCTTATCAAAGAACTTCCCAGCTTATTGCACAAAGGAGAAAATGGTGAGGGTTAGGCTTTTTGCTTTTGGAACTATCCTCAGAGCTAAGGGTGGGGTGATTCTCCTGACTTGTGATTCCCAGCAGGGCGGTGCTTGAGATTATGCCACAAAATAATAAGAACCTGATGAGGAGTTCCTTTATGCCTCCATTTGGTAGTTTATTCTCTACTGAGCTAGGCCTTTGCTTAGTCTTTCTTTCTTTCTTTTTAATACACTCAGAGAGTTATAAAGGGTAATCCCATGAACACCTGGGGTCCCCCACCCAGCTTAAAAGCAGAAACATTTGCTTCTAGTCTTCATTCAAGGAGAGCTGTCTGCATTGGTTCCAGATCTCAGTGCTTAGGGAGAGACACATGTAATATGTGTTGTAAATTCCCTGTGGCTTTTGGAGTAATGTGAGAGAGGGAGGGACTCTAGACTGATGAGTTCTGTGCTGAATGGAGCCAAACTCAACACCTCCCTCTGTCCCCAAAGCCTTGCATCCTGATGAACAACATGCAGCAACTGAGGGTCCAGCTGGAGAAAATGTTTGAGGCCATGGGAGGCAAGGAGGTAAGTCTTAAGGTTTGGGGTTGCTGCACTTTCCCTTTGTTCCTGAGCTCCCTGGCCACAGAACTCCACCCTCTCCTGACTGGGTATAGACCAGGAGTTTAGCTTGGGGTCTGGAATGGTTTGAGCTGAGAGATTTGAGTAGGCATTGGGGTAGAGGCCCTAGGAGGGAGGAGTGGGGGCACAGGAAGGGAGGAAAGCATAAGAGAACCAGCTTAGCAAAGCCTGCCTCCTGTGGATACAGTTGGACCCTGAAGCTGCAGACAGTCTGAAGGAGCTGCAGGTGAAACTGAATACGGTTCTGGATGAGCTCAGCATGGTGTTTGGAAACAGGTCGGTGGCCCCAGAACACACAGCCCTCAGAGCCAGGTGTGGTGCCTGGCCAGTCCCAGATCCCCTGCCCCACACTCATCCATCCAGCTGCACATATGTGGATCTTCCCCCTCTTCCTGCTGGCTGTCCCTGTTGTCCCCTGGAAACTGGAGTATGCTGGAGTGGGACCAAATAGCTGGTGCTGCTTTAGGGACAGTGTGCATTTGGGGCAGGGAGGGCTCCACTGTGGGCACATGTGTAGTTTCCAGGTGCAGATTGATGAGTGTGTTCAACAAATGGCTGACATCCTGGGCCAGGTGCGGGGCCCAGGGAATGCATCCCCCAGCGCCCGGGCCTCAGTGACTCAAGATGCAGATAGTGTGCTCCGGCCCCTCATGGACTTCCTGGATGGCAAGTGAGTACAGCACTGAGGACTGTCCTTTAGGGACGAACAGGGCAGAAGCAGTCACAGAGGAGCCTCTCAGGGAGGGGGAGCTCTCAAGCACTTACCCCATCCTTACCTGTTGCCTGGTCCTGCAGCCTCACACTTTTTGCCACTGTGTGTGAGAAGACGGTCCTGAAGCGGGTACTGAAGGAGCTCTGGCGGGTGGTAATGAATACAATGGAGAGGATGATTGTTCTGCCCCCACTTACTGACCAGACGGTAAGGACACCTCCCTTCCACTTCGTCCTGCTGTGTCTCCCTAAACCTGCTCCATGCTTCCTGATTGAGTTTGGAGTTCTCTGCTTTTGACTGATTCGCTCTCTGCCCAGGGCACCCAGTTGATCTTCACTGCTGCCAAGGAGCTGAGCCACCTTTCCAAACTCAAGGTACTCTGGATGTGTGGGGTCCTTCTGAGGCTGGGGGTTGCCTGGAAGGAAGGAAATTTGAGCTTTGAAGACTGAAGCAGAGGGGAAGGAGAGGAACATGTAGCTGTGGCTGACAGGTCGGGGAAAGACTTTGATGACAGCCATAAGCTGTCCTGATGCTGTTGCTTTCTCTGGGGTTCTAGGACCACATGGCGCGAGAGGAAACCCGGAGTCTCACTCCAAAGCAGTGTGCTGTCCTTGACCTCGCCCTGGACACCATCAAGGTGGAGACCTCCCCCTCCTCCAGAAAATCTTACTACCACTTGGTCCTGGCATTCCATTCTGCCAGATTAGGTGTCCCTCGGGCTCTTGCCACCCCACATCCAGAAGAGAGTGATTTTTGTGTCCATATCTTTCTCTGCTATTCCATATTCCTGCTGGGGACCAACCAAAAAGGTACCTCCTGTGTGGTCTCTGGTGAATCACCACAGACCTAGAACATTATTCTTGGGTTCTGAGGACAGTTTAGTTCACTTTGTACCTCATTGTCATTCATGAATATTTTCCACTGGGAATTAATCTTCCAGATCCTAATACCTGACATCTGGCTGACTTCTTCACTTATGTTTAAAATCATTTGGGTTTTCGAAGGATTTTTTTTTTCCTATTACACATTCATTTATTCAACCAGGCAACATGTGTTCTGGGCACTATACACTATGAAGGATGCAGAGAGAATCAGATATGGTTCCTAGCATCAAGATACTTATAACCTGGTAAAGTGATAAATAAGGCAAGTACGTGTGGGCTGTGATTTAGGGCACTTCGGAGAGGTATGCCATAGGTATAAAGTGCTCTAAGTGTTCCCAGGGATAGAGCAACATTTCTGAGTACTCTCTTCCTGAAATGCTTCTGTCACATATCTTTGTCCAGATAGATTCATCCTTCAAGCATCACGTCCAGAAACGTGGCCATCCCTTACCACTCCTGCCAGATATTCAAATAATACTCTTCACCTGAGAGACTATGACTCTGGCTCTGTGTGGTATTCCTGATATTGCTGTTTATTGAATGGCTCTTCCAACATCTTCGCTGAGCCTCTGCTCAGATGTCATTTCTCTGAGTTACATTGTTGGAGAGCTGCCTCTCTGTAAGGGGATGAGGCAGTAGCAGTTAGCAGTTATTCTTGTCTTTCAGCAATACTTTCATGCAGGAGGCAATGGGCTGAAGAAAACCTTCCTGGAGAAGAGCCCAGATCTGCAGTCCCTACGCTATGCCCTGTCTCTGTACACACAGACCACAGACACACTCATCAAGACCTTTGTGCGCTCACAGACTGCCCAGGGTAAGGCCTAAGGGCTTTGGGTCCCCACCTCCCCTCCCTGATACATCTCTGTCCCTAGGGAGTCAGTATCCTATAGCCCTCAGGGAGGATCCAAGTACTTCTTCAGAAAGCCCTTCAAACTCAGACACCAGGATTTCTTGATGGATCCCAGTACTTACCCCCAACCCACACTCAAACCAGACAGGAGAATCACAGAGACCTGGGAAATGTGCCTGAGCTTTCTTTTCCCAGACATCATCTGGCCAGTGCATGTGTGTTGAGCTCAAGGAGTATACCCTGTTTGGTAGGAAATATCTGTGAGGAAGCCTTGAGAATAAGTGGTTGAGACGCTCATGAAGACTCATAGCTTTGGGAGCCTAAGTTGGAAGCTGTCCAGGGGAGAGAAAGCAAAAGACTTTCCAGATTCTCCAGTGTGGGTGAGGAGAAGACTAAGAGAGGCAAACCACGGGAGCAGTTGAAGGGAGGGTGCGGATCATGGGGCTCTGCAGAGCTGAGACTCCGGCCTCATGGGTGATGCTAGTGCACAGGGAACCCAGGCAGCTGATTTTCTCCCAGTGACTTCCAGTTCTCAGAACCCCTCCCTGCCTTCAGGCAGGCCCATTCATAACAAAACACATCTGCCTAGACATGGCTCAGACTGAAATTCTGAGCCTCACCCTGGGAAGGTCCTCCTGGAAAGGACCTTCAAGGCGCAGTTGTTGCTCCTTCCAGGGAAACCTGGGCATGCTGCCTGGAGGAGTGAACGTGGTGGAGGTGGGAGTGGGAAGGCTTAGGCCTTACTGAGCTGTGGATCTGGAGCACAGAGCTGACCCAGAGGGGAAGAGGGATCTAAGCAGTTAGAGTTGATGGAAGGTGAAAAATACAAGGGACCTGCAGTACTGCTCCGTTTTCCATGTATGTTCTTATTTCAAGTCCAGAGTGAGAAGAAGACAGAGCAAAAGAAGTTATGAGCCTTGCTCAAGGAGACGGGGATCTTTCACAGAGCTGAGTACATGTAAAGGCCTGTAACATCAGGGAGGATAGGAGTTAATCCAAAAGGCCTTTTGGAAACATTGAGCTTTAAGCTAGATATAAAGATGAGGAGAGGCTCGAATGGGCACACATCAAGTAACAGCAGGCAGGGGTGGCAGCTGCAGGGAGGATGCAACTGTGAGTGTACGTTTTCTACCCACTGCTTTATCATTTAAGGGCCTAAGAAATTAGAGCCTACAACTTTCTCTTTTGTGCCCTGTGGGTCTCAGAAACCTTCTCTCTGTATGTTCTACTGCTTCTGTCCATGATTTGATTGATCTTCAAACTGTTAAGTATAATTTGGAGCATTCAAGCATTGACCCCAGTTCTTTGACCTCTCTCTCCACCCTACCCCATCTCTGTGCTCCCTCAGAATATGTGTAGAGCTGCTCTGAATGGCTGTTAACTCCTTAGACCTCTAACTGATTCTTCTTTCTCTGTCCTACTGCTGCTACCTCTTGACTTGCCTGTCCTCACTCAGTGCATGATGGGAAAGGTATTAGGTTTACTGCTAATGAGGACATTCAGCCGGAAAAGGGTACGTTATATACCATGCAGATGTGAATCTAATATGGGCTAACACTGTCACCTGTGAACTAGAATGAGCTGCTTATGTTGGGGCTGGGGGAACCAGGTGTCAAAGTTCAGAGGCTCTATCCCAAGTTTCAGAGATGGACAGTGTATTCATACAGTCTGAGATAGGGTTAACGATAGCTGTCCTCAGAATTCCCCCACCCCTCCATCTAAGGACAAAGAAGTTTTATCTGGGGTGTAGGGTACTGGTGTTTTCCCAAAATAGAGTGAAGCCTCTGCAGAGGGGAGGCTGAAAATTGGCCAGAGGGACTGGGGAGCTGTTTGCAGAGAGGTCTAGGTTTGAGTAGGAAAAAGTCATTCTGTATGGGGCAGCCTCCCAAGAAGGGGCCTCTGCAGGCGGGAAGGTGCTGCTTTTGGCTAGATGGGACCCGCATTGTTCTACTGAGACACCATGGGGTGGACATAATTCTCAGACAAAAATACAGGGTGGCAGCACTGTCCTTTCCCAGCATCTTTTGAGGAAAAGTTCTGCAGGCTAGGAGAGGTTTGGGGAACCTGAGAGATTCCAGGTGCAGTTCTGGAAGAGGTTTCACCTAAGATGTTGTCACCCTGATTTGTATTTTAATACATAGTCTCATTCTTTATCCCCGCTCTTTTCCTTCTCCCATTACTTACTTCCCCATAGCTTCTGTGGGTGATTACTTCTTGCTTTAGGATGTAGGATAGTAGCCTCCCAACTCCACGGTTTTACCCGGAATAATTAGGCCTAAAGTCTTAAAGTTCTCCAATGGGGGAATCATCTGTCCGTCTGTCCCTCAGGGTCCGGTGTGGATGATCCTGTGGGAGAAGTCTCTATTCAGGTGGACTTGTTTACACATCCTGGAACTGGGGAGCACAAGGTCACAGTGAAAGGTGAGTGGCATGGACTTACAGACCTCAGACCTTTTCTTGCCCAGTGGCCTCATCAGTCAATGGCAGGGACTGCTTATCCCAGCCTTTCAGCTTAGCCCTCCTCCAAGGGGAATGCCACCCGGGGCTCAAGAACTGGGAATGCTTGATGGGATCTCTCACAGGTTTCCCATGTTTGTGCAGTGGTGGCTGCCAATGACCTCAAGTGGCAGACAGCCGGTATGTTCCGGCCCTTTGTGGAAGTAACCATGGTTGGCCCTCACCAAAGTGATAAGAAGAGGAAGTTCACAACCAAGTCAAAAAGCAACAACTGGGCCCCCAAGTACAATGAGACATTTCACTTGTAAGTTATGGGATGGAGGCCTGAAGGACTCTGGGATGGGGTTGATCTGGGGGGTAAGAATTGAGAGGGGAGAGAAGGGATGGGCTGGATGGCAGCTGGGGTGAATTCATTTGAGGATGCCCTCAGCTCTGGTCTCCCACCTTCCATCTACCCTGTGCTCACAGCCTCCTGGGAAATGAAGAGGGGCCAGAAGCCTATGAGTTGCAAATATGTGTGAAGGATTACTGCTTTGCCCGGGAGGATCGTGTTCTGGGGCTGGCTGTGATGCCTCTGAGGGACGTGGCAGCCAAGGGCAGCTGTGCCTGTTGGTGCCCCTTGGGCCGGAAGATCCACATGGATGAGACAGGCATGACCATTCTCCGCATTCTGTCTCAGAGGAGCAATGACGAAGTGGCCCGAGAGTTTGTGAAGCTCAAATCGGAGTCTCGTTCCGTGGAGGAGGGGAGCTGAGCACCTAGGCTCCTGTGCCAACCAGATGGCACCAGTTCCACAAGTCAGGGCTAATGAGAGTTACTGTGTATCTTAGGGTCCTCGTAGTCAAGAGGCTGACTCATTCCATTAAGGACGTTTAAGGAAAAGTTTGGGGTGATGTGAGTATGGCTTTGAACAGAAAGGGTCATGAGTCCCTGCCCAGCAGGTCTGTGATGCTGGGAGCTGGGCTGTGGGGGTTACTAGGCAGGGAGATTTTCCACAGAGGGGTATACGTTTCTGAGAGTGTCAGCCATTCTTGGCAGAGGTTCTTCCACTCCCACAACCCTTCTCTACCCCTCTCCATACCACACCTTATCCAGTTAGATCCGTACATAGCAATCATTAGAAGAACAAGTTGAGAGGGCCTGGAGCTTTTGCCTAATTAGGTAAGTAATCATTTGAGTATTGCTGAGCCCTGTGGTCTGGATTGGAGTATGGCCAGGACAGGAGCACACAGAATAGAACTCAGCCTGTCCCTTGAGCAGAATCTACTGGGGTAGAGTAGCTCAAGTGAGTACAAGGCATTGAAACTGAACCAGAAACCTTTCAGAAATGAGCTCTGCTAACCCCTTGCCCAGATTATCTGTCATGAGTAGAACCAGTTTCCCATGGTGCTTCAGAGCCCTGAGCAGAATTTCTTTGGAACCAGCGCCAGGTTCCAAGCACCAGGCGCCACCTGCCCAGGAGTCCCCCTACCTCACTCCTTTAGGAAGAGGAGTGATGCTTCAGGACATGAGAAGCTCTTCTTAAGTGTATGCACCTGAGAGCTAGTTGAAGGATCCAGGAGAGAGGACTGTATTTTCTTCGTGAAAAAGCCCTGAACAAAGCCAAAAGTTGTGGAAATCAATCTAGAAAGAGTCCTCTTCACCTATGGCCACTGCCTTCTGGCGGTCCTCCCTCTTGCAGAAAGAATCCAGCCTTTGTCCTCACTCCCCTTCATCTAGGTCAGCTGCAGTTCCCCTCATAGACGTTCAACCCTACAAAAGGAACTTGGACCGTGATGCCTCTGTACCAGCTGGATGAAAGGGGGGGGGGCCTCAACACTCCCTGGGAGGTCAGAGACAAACTTTTTCCAGAGGGTCATGGGGACTTCCCAGGCCCCTTGCTCAGAGAAGGGCCTTCGATAACCTCAGTAGCAGCCTCTTGGACTTCCTGAGGACTCTGCATTGTCCATTGGCCATTACATGAAATAAGAAACTAGGAATCTTTGCTGTTTTAAATTATTGTATGTGCCATTGTTACAAGAGATTATTGGCTAGTCTGTAATAAATTATCTTGTAGCAGCCTTTGGGGTCTGATAATTCTGTTAAAGTGTGGAAAGCTGTAGAAATGACTTCCTTATATAATGATAGGTTTTAGACAAGTGGTCCCTTCCTGCTCTCCACCCGCCACCGCCCACCCCCAAGTGGTGGAGCCTCAAACCGCTGGGGGAGAGGGGGCAGATTTCTGAGAAAGGGGACGTGTTTGGAGGCGGGCTTGGGGAGGAGGGGCGTGGCCGGAGGCGGGGCTCTACTCTGCCCGGATCGTGTGGCTCCGGGAAACCTGAGCGCAAAGGTGCGTTAAGATGGCGGTCGCTGGAGTCGGTGGCTGCGGAGCGATGGTGAGCAAGAGGTGCCCGAAGGTGGCGCCCGAGGAGAGGGTATCGCCTTTTCCCTCCCAACACTGAAGAGAGACTGTACCCCCATACTATCTTGCAATTCCTAGCACTCTGTGTACTTCCCAACAGCTGTCCGTCTTCATACTTTCTTGTAAACTGTTCTCCCAGTACTCCCCATCCCCATACTCGAGTATACGGGTTTCCTAGATGCTCCAGAGAGGACTTACCTGCCCAGATACCTAGCAAAGGGGATCTTTATCCCCCAGATACCTCCCAGAGGGCATCCATTTATCTGGTTACCTCATAAAGCAGATGCCCACAAAACCTCCAGCTAAGGTACATTCCTGTTAACTTAGGGAGTTTTGTCCACTTTTCCAGCACTATCCAGATTGTCTGAGAGGGAAGCCATGAATCCTATGCCATATTTGACTTGAAAGTGGCACATTTGCTCTCACTCCTCTATCATATGGAGCAAGAAACCTGCTTCATAAGGAAAAGTCAAACTCTGGCTGACTAGCTTACAAAAGGCTTGCAGATTTGAATCAGTAGCTAACTTTTTAAAACCAGCTTTTACGTTTTAAAAATGAGTATTTCTCGCTTTTGAGGAAATAATCAGAAGAACTATTAACTCTTAGCTGACATTCCCACAAAGTGACAGGTGGTTGGAGCTGAGAAGCAACTAGCAAATTAGTTTTCTGTAGTTCATTATAGACTCCATTACTCCTTATTTTGTCATTCTGGGCTTTACATTATTTCCCTGGTATGTGCTAGACACTTGAGTTTGTGATCCCTGATATAAGACTTTTGGTAATTTTCTGTGCCAATATTTTGAGCTCTTAATGGAAACTGAAATCCAAAGAGGTCGGATGTATGTTATATATGTTTAGGTTATCTTTGGTTTCTGTGATGCCCTGATTAGGATAAGAGATCATACTAGTAGCTAAAATCCAGGGTGAAATCTGTATTAAAGTGTTTTTTTATAAGAGAATTCAATCAAAATATCTGCAGTTAGCTTCCTGGTGCATTTGATCTTGAAGAAATCGTGTGCCAGCTCCTCTCTGGTGGGATCAGGCCAAGAACAAGGCGTTGTTTCTCTTTGAACAGCTGGTTTTAAAAGGGCCTGGCTCCGGTCTGTACCAGAAGTGATGTCTCAAAAGTGCCGTCTCCTTCACTCCAGAACTCATAGATCGTAACCCTCCTCTCTGTGGGAAATAACAGGCCTTGTAGTATCGAGAGTTGGGGGTATTATGCAGGCTGTATCTAATCAGAAGTAGAATAGAAGTACCTTTAATAGTGGATTTTTTTTAAAGCAAAATCATTTCTATTTGCATAAGTATATAACTCACCTAGTCATTGTGAATATTTGGACTAGCTCCATGAATGAACCTCGCATATCTTGAAGCAGAATGGCTAAGCTGAAGAGGCAACATGGAGTAGTGAAGATGGTATTGAAGTGGGAGTCAGAAAACATGAACGGTAGTCTCCACTCTGCTACACACTTCTCAAGGGACCTTGACTTTTAACTTTTCAGAGGCTGTTGCTTGCATCTATCTGTTAAATGGACTATGAATTCCTGCCATGTTTACTTGAGAGGGGTCAAATGGGCTTATTTAAATGTGAAAACACTTTGAAAACTATACTGTACATGTATAAGGGATTATTGTCATTATTACAAATGATCCTCTGAGCTCTGATAACTTCCAAGGAACTTGCCTTGCTGTGTCCTGGGTTCAAAATCAATAAATATTTGCTGAATGCATAATATGTGCCAGGTACTCATCTAGGCATGGAGCCTAGCACTGAACAAAACAAAAACCCTTGTATGAATTTAAGAGTGGGTTATCAGCATGTTGAGTGCCTACTGAGTACCCAGCACAGTACCACAGCGTGGTGAAGTAATAGGGAGAACCTAGATGATGAACTTAAGTCTGCCACTGTACAGCTGTGAGAGAGTCTTTCCCTATGTGAGCCTGAACCTTCCCATCTGTAAGATAAGGTGGTTAGACAAGGTAAACTCTGAGGTTCTTTCAAGCTAAAATATGTTTGTTTGGAGATTATAATTGCTAAAGTTCCCTACCCCTAATGAGTTTATTGGCCTGCCAGGAAGGTCAGACTAACAAAGCTAAACAGTCTTAGAACTACAAGGACAACAGAGTGCTAATGTCACACGAGATTCAGCATAATAACAGTAACAGCAGCGTTGCTCTGTAGGTAATAGAGTATTTAGAGAGACTTCTTAGAAGGCCGTGAGGACATGGAAGGATGGGAAGATTCAGATTAGAGGAGAGGAAGGAGACTTGACCGTAGATACTGGAAACTGAATGAATGTAAGAACAAAGGAGAAGAATAACATGCCATTTATTGTTTTCCTAGTGTATCAGTCAGAGCCCCTGCAGAAAAAGTTTGTGCGTTCAAAAGAATTTAATTGAAAAGAGTTTAACCAAAGGATGACTTACAGAGGTATGGTCAGTGTTAACAGAAACTAGAAAGAAATGGTGAAACCCAAAAGTGGTGAGTCAGTAGCACGCCTAGGCCTCAAGGGAAAGAAAGGGAAGTGTTGTTACCAGGGCCCAGTTAGAACTACAATCTGAAAGACGGACTGCCTGACAAGAGCAAGAACTTAGACTAGGCAGCATGCAAGTAGAGAAATAAATGCCCTAACCTTTCTCCTCTTGCCCTCTGGTCTCCAGCTACTACCCTCAAGAAGCCCAGGGGCAAGGTAGTCTGGGTAATGTAGTTCATAGAGGTCAGCTTCCCAGAACAGGGCAGAGGGAGTTGGCTGGGAGGAGGCACAGCAAACAGAATAACCAGCATAAAATGTATCTAGGGAAGGAAAAGTTACCACTATGGACTCTTTCCAATAAAGTTTTCCCTCTGTTCAAATTCAGAAATCTACTGTAAGACTTAGTCTCCTTAGTTGTGAAATGGCAATAGAGCAATGCCTTTGTTCCGGAGTGATTGTGAGGATTCTATGTTATGACACATGAAAGTGCCTGGCACAGGGCATGATACAAGCTGGAGACTCAGTATATTTTAGTTCCTTCCTTCCTGTACATGCTTAAATGGCTCCTTGGCTGAAATATTTTTCCAGTCATGGTTTCAAAGTGTAGCTGGAACTGAGTGAATGAAGGGGAGAATAGTAGGAGATGAAGTCAGAGCCCATGGTAATGACTTTGGCTTTTAACAGAGTAAGGTAGGAAGTCACTGGAAAGTTGTGCGACTTCTGATATCAGGGTTCCTATTATTCACTAGGGCATCACTTCTTCGTTCAAAAATATTTATTTAGAACATACCACATGCTGGATACTGTTTTAGGTACTGGAGGTACATTGATATATAGTCCCTACCCTCAAGAATAATGTGGTCTTTAAAGGAGACAGATGACTTCAACTTAAAGTATAAATATTAAGATACAAGTGAACATAGAAGCTCACAGTAAGGGGGCTCATAGTAAAGACATAATCTTTGGGGCATCTGAAAGGCTTCCTGAGCAAGGTGATGTAAATTGAATCTTAACTGTAGAACTTAGCCAGGTCTAAACAGAGGGAAATGAAGTTCTAGGAATTTGGAGTAGTATGTGCACTTGACACTTGGCTTAAAAAAAAAAAAGTTGGTGATGAGCTGGGAATTGCAGGTAGCTTATGTCACGAGACATTTGGCTTTGTGTAGGAGGATGTTGAGAGATAAGACTAGAGAAGTAAGCAGAGGCCAGGTCATGAAGAGAAATTTAGACTTTATCCTGAAGGCAATGGTAGGTTTTTAAGCAAAAAGATAACTCACTCTGGCAAGATAAGAAGAGTCAGTTGAAGGGGGGTTGAGGTGGAGGGTGGGAAGGTACGAAACTGGAGACTGTGAGGCTAATGATGGTGGCCTGAACTTAAGTAGAAGCTTTGGGGATAGTTGTAGAGGACTATTCCAAGTTAAATGTTTATTAATGAGGAAGAACGTACAGAACTTCATGATTAATTGTAAGTGGGAGAATGAAAGAGAGCATTTTCAGAGATGACTCTCAGGTTTCTGTCTTGAGCAACTAGGTAAATGGTAAGACTAGTAACATGTTCAAAGACAGGAAATATAAGAGAAAGCACAAATTTGGGGTGCGTGGGAGGTGGAGAATAGAGAGAATTTCAGTTTTGTAGATGTAGATTTTTTATTGTAAAATGCACATTATGTAAAATTTACCATTTGAAAGTGTACAATTCAGTGACATTAAGTATGTTCACAGTGTTGCACAACCATCATTACTGTCCAGTTCCAGAATTTCTTCATCACCCCAAAAGGAAACCCCATCCCTATTAAACAGTCACTCCTCAATAAATGTAGATTTTGAGGCAATTGTGTGACATCCAAATACAGATGTTAAGTAGATATTTGGATATGTACTCCTGAAGCTCAGAATAAAAATTCAGGCTGAAGATACACATTTTTGAAACATTAGCATACAAGTAGGGATTCTCAACCTGGGGCCTATGGACTTGAGTGAGAATCTCTGAATGTCTTGAATTGGATATAAAATGTATATGTATACATATATATGTTTATTTTTATGAAGTGTCTATAGCATTAATTAAATTCCCAAAGGAATTTCTTTTTTTAAATAAATTTATTTTATTTTTTAAATTGTTGGCTGTGTTGGGTCTTCATTGCTGCAAGCAGGCTTTCTCTAGTTGCGGTGAGCAGGCTTCT